CCACCTCAAAATGTCCCAAAAAATGAGCGGTTTGCTGAAAATCGGCTGAAAATCGATTTTTGGCATTATGGCCTAGAAATACCGAAATTTGGGCTTCTAGGCCATCATCGGTGTTTTCGGATTTCCGAGCGAAAATTTGGCTGAAAATTGGCTAAAAATCATCGATTTTTGAACATTTTCTGACCATTTTCCGTAAAACTACCGTATCTCGAGGTACAGTAATCATGGAGAGGTGAAATTTAGAGCATTCGACTTGGCTTGCCATGAGCTTTCAAATGAGTATACTCATGACTAATTTTGAATCACTTTTTGGGGTTACTGTAACAGGATCTAAGCACACCTACAGTAATCTACAGTAACCCCAAAATTTGTTTTTCAAAATTATTCATGAGTATACTCATTTGAAAGCTCTTGACCAGCCAAGTCGAATGCTCTAAATTTCACCTCTCCATGATTACTGTATCTCGAGATACGGTCGACTCAGTGGGGGAGCAGGCGAAACTACTGTAACCCAAAAATGCTCAAAAATGTCCTAAAATTGCTTAAAATCGGCTAGAAACGACCCAAAAAAACGTTGGGACCATTTTTGGACCTTGGTGGCCTAGAAAACCCAAAATTTGGATTCTTAGGCCAGGCTCCGCCCCTTTTTCTCTAATCCCCGCCCACTTTTTTCATTTTCAGACTTCGATAGTGAGCCCATTCAAGAAGACGATTTGCTCGATGACCCGTTCTCGGAGCCACCTCCACCGTCAGCTTCACAAGCTCCGCCCACTTCTTCCGAAGCTCCGCCCCCTACGCAAGCTCAAACGATCTCACAATCCCCGCCCACCGCTTCAAGACAAGCCCCGCCCCCATCCCAACCACGACCAATCTCCCAAGCCAGCCAACAAGCCCCGCCCCCCGAACGAAAGAAGCTCCGCCCACGCGATCCGGAGCGGCGAAGCGACGGTTCGACGAATGCGGGCGGTCCCAAAGAGATAGCCCGCGGACCGTCGACCGCCGCGGTCGGATCGATTCGGCCGGTTTCGGCCGCGAAGGATATTGTGAAGCCATCGACATATAAGATACCACCGCTGGTCGCAGGGGGCGGAGCTAATAACAATTCTGGAGGGCACTCATGGGCTACAAACTACAATCGAGGAGCGTTTTCGATTGAGAATGTGGTGAGTTTAGGCTTGAAAATAGGCTGAAAATCATCAATTTGAGATCATTGCTCAGCTTAAAATTCTCAAATTTCCAGCAGCCGGACTCCCCTCGCTCCTCATACGAATCCGTGAAAATGCCCGCCAGCTCGCTCATCGGATCCATTGAAGTTGGCTCGTGTAGGTTTTGGCCTGAAATTTGGCCTAAAAAGGCCTAAAACGGTCTGAAATAGCCCAAAACCAAGGCTACAGTAACCCAAAAAAATTCTAAAAATAGTCATGAGTATACTCATCTGAAAGCTCTTGACAAGCCAAGTCGATTGGTGTAAATTTCATATCTCTAGGGTTATTGTAGCTCGAGTTACGGTAGTTTCTAGAAAACTACAGTAACCCAAAAAATTATTTTAAAAGTTATTCATGAGTATACTCATTTGAAAGCGCTCAACGAGCCAAGTCAAATGCTCCAAATTTCATTTTTCTAGGATTACTGTACCTCGAGTTACGGTAGTTTTAGAAAGTACAGTAACCCAAAAACTCCTAAAATGAGTCTAGAACCCTTTAAAACCCCCGAATTCTTGCTTAAAACAAAAGCCAAAAAATTTCAAAAAAGTTTGCCACCAAGTAGAATCGAACCCTGGTGTTGATTTTCCGAAAATTCGCATGTCCAAAATCCCACTAGGCCATCCGAGCACAATTTTTAAAAATGTCGATTTTTAAGACTTTTTGAAGGTTTTAGGGGTTTTTAAGGGGTTTAGAGCTGAATTTAGGGGTTATTTTGATCAAGAAACGCTTCGAATTGCTCTAAATTAGCCTAGAATTTTCAACGAATGGCTTAAAGTAGGCTAAAATAGCTCTAAAATGTTCCAGCGGCCCTCGCAAAGCTGCGTCACGCCTCTCCACAACGGCGTGGTACGGTAGACGGTGCAATTGGAATTGGCGGTCAGGCTGGCTCGGCCACAGGCATAGGCACATGCTCTTCAGCAATCGGAATGCTTGGATCCGGAGCTCTGATCTCAAATGGATCCCTAAATCAGACTGGGGAGGCGTTCACGGCAGTCTGGAAACGACAGAATGGACAATTGATCAATCCGTTTCGACCCGAGGATTTTGCTGTGCAGGTAAAGGGGCGTGACCTAGAAAAATCATCTTGGAGAAAGTTAGGCCACCAAGCTGGATGACCTAGACCATCTGGCTTGATGGACTAGAAAACCAAGGGTGTTGGAAACTCGGCCGTGGCTATATTCCCTACAGCACTTTTCAGGACGAAAAACGGCTCCTGAAATTGGCTGAAAATACCGCCAAAAGAAAGTTAGGCCATCATGGCCTAGAAACCTTACTTAGGCCACCAAACTAGATGGCCTAACTTTCTCCGAGTTAGGCCACCAAGCTAGGTGGCCTAGAAAGCTTATCTAGCTTGGAAGTCAAAATTTCCGAAAAAAAAACTTTTTTTTCTCGATTTTTTCAAAATCATCCGATTGTGAAAAAATTGATATCACGAGCTGAAATTGGCTGAAAATTTGAATACTGAAAGAAATTTTTGAAAAAGTCGAAATTTGGGAAAAATTTTTTTTGGAATTTTTCAAAATAAAATTTTTTCAAATTTCGATTTTTCCGAAATTTTCTTACAGTATTTTCAGCCAATTTCAGCTCGTGATATCGATTTTTATCCCGATTGGACGATTTTGAATTTTTTCGAAAATGCGCTTTTTTGTCATTTTTCGCCATTTTTTCAGGCGATTTTCGGTCATTTTCAAACCCATTTCTAAGTCTAAATGGCCTAGAAAAGTCTAAAAATCCTATTTTCAGGTCACCGCCAACCGTCGCCGCTGGATTCACGTCTTCCCGGTGGATAGTTCTGGAAAATCCAAATTGGCTCATCATTTCGTCTCCGGACAGAGCATTGTGCACATAGTCGGAGCACCGGAAGATCAGAAAAAATATGTGGCTCGTAAGGATCTCTATCATATTTCTTGGGAAAAAAAATTTGAAAAAAAAATTTTGGACCAAAAATTTTTTTTCGAAAATTTTCAAAATGGTCCGATTGCGAAAAAAATCAATTTCACGAGCTGAAATTGGCTGAAAATAAGAATACCTAAAGAAATTTTCGAAAAAATCGATTTTTGAGAAAATTTTTTTTTGGAATTTTCAGTGCGATTTTTCGAAAAAATATTTTTTTTTCCAATTTTCGATTTTTGGAGTTTTTTTTTCAGAATCCTTATTTTCAGCCAATTTCAGCTCGTGATATCGATTTTTATCACAATTGGACCATTTTGAAATTAGGGCCTATAACTCGGCTCATTGACTAACTAGAGCTTTAAAATTAGGCTCATTTTGTAGCTCTTGATTTTCTCTATTATATCACTGCCCTTTGGTTCATCTATCAAGCCTCCAAAGCTTTAGAAATCGCCTCCTCCCTGGATACGGTATCAATGTCGAAGAGTCCGGATCAGGTGGCACTATCAGCTGATAAGCGAAGCGTTCCAAAATCCAGGGACAACAACAATCCGGATAAGAATTCGAAATCCAATTCCGCTGGAAACGCGTCGAAAAAGTACAAAGTGTGGGCGTGGGGATCGACTGGGGAGGAGAAATGGAATGTGGAAATGGAAATTGGCACGGATTGGAAGTCGTTGGTACGGTCGGCACTGCTTCCGATTACCACGGACTTCTTTCCAGATGGACAAGCGCTTCAGAATCAGTTTATCATGAATGAGTACAGTATTAGTGTGGAGGTGAGTTGAAAATGGCTGAAAATTGGCTGAAAAAGACCATAATTGGCGAATTTTAGAAAAAATTCAAAATCGCCCAATCGCGATAAAAATCGATATCACGAGCTGAAATTTGCTGAAAATGCGAATCCTGGGTAGAAAATTACAAAATTTTCAAAAATTGAGAAAAAATTTTTTTCGAAAAATTCCAAAAAAATCGATTTTTTCAAAATCCTCTAATCGTGATAAAAATTGATATCACGAGCTGAAATCGGCCGAAAAGAAGAATTCGAAAAAAATTTGAAAAAAAAGGTTTTTGGAATTTTATGAAAATTTTGTTTTCTCAAATTTCAATTTTTTCGAAAATTTCTTTCAGTATTTGGGTTTTCAGCCAATTTCAGCTCGTGATGTCGAGTTTTATGAGGATTGGACGATTTTGAATTTTTGAGAAATTTTACATTTTTTGGGAATTTTCAACCCGATTTCGGGTCATATTTGAGCCTATTTTCAAGCTATTTTCATCCTGATGGCCTAGAAACCTCATTTAGAAAAAACTAGGCCATCTGATCCTTCTGATCCTTCCTATTTACAGCCCAAACAAACGCCTGAGTCCTATCGCGAGGGACTGTTCGACTGTGAATCCCCGAACTCCAGTGGATCCCAACCCGGCGGTGATAACAGTATCAATGGGGAAACAATTCCCGCTTCTGAAACTCAAAATTCTGAAAACGGCAGCCTAGAAAAGGGATTCCGACGGATTCGAGAGAAATCGTCTGGAAAAGCGACCATGACACGTCTTCTATACGATCAGATGATTCTACAACGCCTACAGAGGGGATATCAGATTGTTTTATTGGATAAGGTGAGCTGGAATTTTTGAGCATTTTTTGAGCTACAAAATGAGCCTATTTGGGGTACTGTAGCTTGTCTAGGAGCAAAGTTACAACAATTTCAAAAAAAAATCAAATTGCCCAATTGTGATAAAATTTGATATCACGAGCTGAAATTGGCTGAAAATAAAGATACTGAATGAAATTTAAAAAAAGTTGAAATTTGAAGAAAAATTTTTCGAAAAATACCAAAAATTTTTTTTCAAATTTTGACTTTTTCGAAAAATTTCTTCCAGAATTCACATTTTCAGCCAATTTCAGCTCGTGATATCAATTTTTATCGCATTCGGACGATTTCGAATTTTTTGGGATTTTTTTTGGCTTTCCTAACTTTGCTCATAACCAAGCTACAGTAGTCAAAATAGGACCATATTGTAGATCTTGAGTTTATCTACCGTATCCATTTTAGCTGATCCAAAAATATTGATCCTGAGCTACTGTAGTCGATATTTTTGAAATTGATCCCAAAAATGGCCGTTTTTGCCCAAAACGCCCCCATTTTCCAGAGCCTAGTGGAAGTGTCCTGTGAAGCAGCGAAAAAACCGTCCCGAATCGAGTCGATCAAAACGCAGGACCTCGCGGAACCTCGAAAATCTCGTGTGGACCATAATCGAAGCTCGTCGAAGAACTCCAGAAGACAACATCGAGCTCAGGATTCAGAAATTGTGCTCTCGTTCAATAAATACTATCATAAGCTGGTGTTGGATGAGGAGAACCTGCAGGTAAGACGGAAAAATTGGCTAAAATTGCCTCGAAAATCGATTTTGGGAGCCAAAATTTGAAAAAATCGATTTTTTTCAAAATTTTCAAAATTGTCCAATCGCGATAAAAATCGATATCACGAGCTGAAATGGGCATAAAATAAAAATACTGAAAGAAAATTTCAAAAATTGACATTTGAAAAAAAGTTTTTTTTTCGAAAAATTTCATTTTTTTCAACATTTCCAAAATCCTCCAATTGTGATAAAAATCGATATGACGAGCTGAATTGGCTGAAAATGAGGATTCTGAAAGAAATTTTCTAAAAATTGAAATTTGAAAAAAAAAATTTTTTTTCGACAAATTGCACTGAAAATTCAAAAAAAAATTTTTTTTCAATTTTCGCCTTTCAAAAATTTTCTTTCAGTATCTTGATTTTCAGCCAATTTCAGCTCGTGATATCGATTTTTATCGCGATTGGACAATTTTGAAAAAATCCAAAAAAAAAAATATTTTGGCTTATAACTTTGCTCTTAGACCAGCTAGAGCTTCAAAATTAGTTGCATCTTGTAGGGCTCCTTAATTTCTACCGCATGCATTCTCATTGGAGCGTAATTGCATACTCTGTGGACATCTAGACAAACAGACAAACGGGAGCGATCAACAACACTTACTTGTCGTGATAATTTGGAGATATTTAGCGTCCTCCACACGTCGGATATAGTTCATCGCACGCTTTCGACTCGAGATCCCTTCGACGTTGTCTGAAAAATGTGGGAATGAGGGATAAAGAGATTTTGAGAGACGCCGAGAATTTCCAGCCAATTCGGACCATTTTTTGGACCATTTTCCACACTCACATCTCAACCAGAGTGCAAAATCGTAGATCACAAACATATTGTTCGGGTGAATGACTTGTAGCTGCCGCTCGTTCGTTGAGATCAATCCGACGTATGGTGTAGACTGAAAATGGAGAAATTTGAGGTTTTAGAGCCAATTTTGAGCTATTCTCGATGAAAAAATTAGCTAAAAAACCGTAAAAACAGCTCTAAAACCTCTAGGAACCCCTAAAACCATCAAAAATCGACAAAAATCGACATTTTTCAAAAACTTGCCCAGGTGGCCTAGTGGGATTTTGGGGCAAAAATCTGAAAACTCAACACCAGGGTTCGATTCCTCTCGCTGGCAAACTTTTTTTGCTTTCATTTTGAGCAAGAATTCGGGGTTCCAGAAGGTTCTAGACTCATTTTGAGCTTTTTGGGTTACTGTACTTTCTAAAACTACCATATCTCGAGCTACAGTAAACATACAGAAGTGAAATGTACACTAATCATCTTGGTTTGTCAAGAGCTTTCAAATGAGTATGCTCATGACTATTCTGGAAACTTTTTTTGGGTTACTGTAGTTTTCTAGAAACTACCGTATCTCGAGCTACAGTAATCCTAGAGGAATGAAATCTACACCAATCAATTCGACTTTCAAGAGCTTTCAGTTGAGTATACTCATGGCTATTTCGCAAAATTTTTTTGGGTTACTGTAGTTTTGGCCTAAATTAGGCCTAAATAATAGGCCTAAATTAGGCCATTATTAGGCCTTTTTAGAAAAATTTTTTTTACCTTAAACGCCTCCATGACATATTTCATCGTGAAATCGTCGCGTTTCAATTTGGGCACTCGCTCCTTTAAATCCCGTGGGTCTGGCGGCTGTTTGGGGTACTGTAGCTTGTTCATGAGCAATAGCAATTTGGTGAGTCGAGAGTACCACGCCTCGTTCGGCGATTCGAACTCTTTTGGGTCGCGGAATTCGATGCCTTTGCCTTCTTCTTGTTTTTCGGTTAGGGGCGTTTTGAGGATGTCCGTTGGGTGGAAGACGACCAGGAACGTGGCTGAGAAGCACTGGAAATTGAGATTTTTAGGCCTTTTCAGGCCTTTTTAGGCCCATTTAAAGCTATTTTAGCGAATTTTTAGGTCGTTTTGGACCATTTTTCAGCAGGAAATTCCCAGTTATTTTGGGCGGTACACGATGAGGAAGGGTTGGCTGAGAAGCACTGGAAATATCGATTTTAGGCCCTTTTAGGCCTTCTTAGGCCTTTTTAGACAGTGTTTCGAGGTTTTGGGGACCGTTATTTATGAGTTTTGGGTTCATTTTAAGCCATATAAAATCATTTTTGGATAATTTCTGGCTATTTTTTTAGTTCATGTTAAGCCATTTTGGACCATTTTTAGCCATTTTGGGATCAATAATAAAAGATTTTCAAACATTACTTTGGTCATTTTGAACAGTTTTTGACAGTTTTAGAGTCTTATTTTTGGGCGATTCTAAGTCATTTTGGGGACTATTTTGAGCTGTTTTCGGACCATTTTAGCCTATTTTAGACTATTTTAAGCTAGTTAAGACCATTTCGTGGTTATTTTTGACCATTTCTAGCTCATTTATATAGCCTCAACTATAGCCCATTGTAGATCATTTTCAGGCCCATTTCGGACCATTTTAGGCTATTTTAAGCCATTTTAAGCTATTTTTAGATCAAGTTTGCTCATTTTAAGCCTTATTTGAATCATTTTCGACTAGTTTTAGCTCAGTTTAGATTTATTTTGGACCGTTTAGGACGGTTTCTGGACGATTTGAAGCTCATTTTAGACCAATTTTAGCCTATTTGAGACTGTTTTATAGCTCATTTTGGACTATTTTTGGACCATTTTCAGCCGATTTTTCCACTATTTTCAGTCATTTTAGACCAATTTAGCCCCCCTCTCTCTTACCTTCATCTGCTCCGAATACAGTGTATCATCAAAGATTGCCCTAAACGAGACGTCAAACGAGGACCAGTTGAGTTTGTCCAGACCGTGGTGACGCAGTTTGGTGACACTCTTCTCGTAGGTCGACGCGTCGGGAACCTGGAAAAATTACGAGTTTTTTAAAATTGTCCAATTGCGATAAAAATTGATATCACGAGCTGAAATGGGATGAAAATCAAGATACTGGAAGAAATTTTCAAAAAAGTCGAAAATTGGAAAAAAATTTTTTTTGGAATTTTTCGAAAATTTTTTTTCAAATTTCGATTTTTTTTGAAAATTTCTTTCAGCATTCTTATTTTCAGCCAATTTCAGCTCGTGATGTCGATTTTTTTCGCGATTGGACGATTTTGATTTTTTTTTTTCGAAAAATGATCATTTCCAGTCATTTTCAGCCCATATTTCCCCGATTTTTACCTGAAAATAGTACGAATACATTGTATTGAAATATCTCGAGTTGAGCTCATCATCAAATGCATCTCTATCGAATAATGGCTCCCGGATCAGCGCGGCGCCTTCTTCTTCGTGCATATTTGCCACGTGGAGAATGCTCAATTTGGGCTCGTCGGCCTTCACCGACGGTCGTTCACACCATCCTTCAAATCCTTCAACCTCATCTTGTGGGACGTCTTTCGGACGGAATAGGGTTACATGGACCTGAAAAATAAGGGTTTTTTCAAGNTAAGTGGTTTACCCCCCCCCCCCCCCCCCTCACTAGCTTGGGAGCCTAGAAACATCATCTAGGGAAAGTTAGGCCATGGAGCTCTGAGGATTAGAATACCCTAAATCTAGTTTGGTGGCCTAACTTTACTCCAGGGGAGGTTTCTAGGTCATGTTGACCTAACTTCCCAAAATGCCTTTTTAGCCCATTTTCAGCCATATTCAGCCGCAATTTTCAGTTATTTCAGGCATGTTTGATAGTATCTATCTTTTTATCACAAATTGGAAAAA